TTCTATTCTATTCTATTCTATATTTTCAGTCAGACCTGAAACCTCTTGACAGGTATGTTGGTTAACTGTTCATCAAGTTGCTTTACTTTGTCTGGGATATATTTTTTTATGAGTTAAAATCATTATTTAATTTGCCTATACTATCATTTATTGGTACTCAAACTCGTATCTTCCACCCTATCTGGGACCTGGTCACAGGGGCAACAGTCTCAGCAGAGTCTCCCAGGCTTCCCTCTCCTCAGACGACTCCTCCACCCCTGCTGGGGGAAGCCCGAGGCGCTGCAGGCCAGAAGAGAGACATAGTCCCTCAGTGTGTCCCCTGGGCTTCCTCCTGGTGGGACGTGCCGGGAACACCTCCTGAGGGAGGCGTCCAGGGGGGCATCAGAAAAAGATGTCTGAGCCTCCTCAGCTGATTATTATTTAGTACATTTTTTGTTTATCATTACCTTTTTCATTATTGTGTTATTTGAATTGTGAATTTATCATTCAGTGGGAGGGTATGTAGACCTTCAAGCACACCTGTATTATTAAGGGAATTAAACACTAAGCCATAAACAGGCAGTCAGATTATTAGCAGAAAAAATATATTGAAAATGTGCTCAACATTACCAATAAAGAGCAAGTTGTTTTTTTTTTGGTTGGTAAGAACCAACCAATTGAGGCTGAGGTCTCTTTTTAAGGGTTTCCTGCTAAAGGTCAACAATCACGTCTCAGAAACACAAAGCACCTCAAAGAAATCCCACTTTCAATAAAACAATTGAATTAAAACTTAGAGTCAACAGAGGTGAGTTATTTTGATAAGGAAAACTGTAAAGTAGGAGTGCAAACGGTACAGTAACAGAAAAACTTAAAACATATATTTATCAGAACCCCCTCTCCCCCAAACAGTTGATTAGAGAAAATAAAATCAGAAGTTTGCAGCATTAAAAGCCTGCAGACAGTCCCTCTGACTAATAACTAGCTGTACCTTTTTCTCGACGTCCTCTCTCAGTTTGGCACAGGATGCCTCGTACTGGCCTTTCTCTGTCGTAGCGACGCTTAACCTCCGCTTCAGGGACTCAATCAGTGCCTTCCTGTTTGAGGCCTCCTCTGAAAGCATCTTTACCTGAACAGAGAGGAATCACAGAGCAGGAATCAGCCAGAAGGGATTAAAATACTTCATTCTTTTTACTCGGTAAACAGTTGTTTCTAATCCTACTTTAATCTAAAAGATTAAAAGTAGAATTTTTACTTTGAAATTAAGGGAAAAGATTGGCTGTTTTTCATTTTACTTTACAGAAACATATCTGAGAGTAGAGGGCAGGGGCGGATTTAGGAAATTTGGGGCCCAAAGCAAAGACAGACAGGGGGACCTCTCAATTGATAAGACAACCCATAAAACAAACGCATTATGCAGATAAAGAAATAGAATAGACATAAATTACTTTCTTTTTCTCCTTTTTCTTGTTGTTTTCCTCTCTGTCTTGTACTCAGCTGACTTTTCATGCTGTCTCAAAAGGAGTGAAAGAATTTTTCAAGCACTAAGCTCACTTAGCTGATTGCTTCTTGTGTTTCTTTAGATGCGGTCTACATCTAAACGAACCAGTGGCTTACATAAAAACACCTCCATGTGTTTAAATAGTCCAGTCACAGTCTACATCTAATCGCTGAGCTGAAACCATGTATAGTAAGTAGGGCTGCAACAACGAATCGATAAAATAGATAAAAATCGACTTTTAAATGCGTTGGCAACAAATTTCATCATCGATTAGTTGTGTCGCGCGATTAATGCGTCATCCGCCGCCGTCGTCATCACATCCACTTGACTGAAAAGGGGGAAGAAAAAAAAAATAAGGCAGCGCCGCAGGTGCAGTGTTGCCAACTCAGCGACTTTGTCGCTATATTTAGTGACTTTTCAGACCCCTCCAGCAACTATTTTTCAAAAAAGCGGCTAGCGACAAATCTGGCGACTTTTTACGGTGTCACTGCCGGCTTTTGGAGACTCTTACGTGAAAGCATGTATCGTTCCTTCGATGGCAGTGAAGAGAGCTCATCAGCAGGGTGAGCGACCATGTTTGTTTCGTTTTAAAGTGGGGAAACGTAACATTAGATTCTCAGGTAGCTCATCTGATGCTTCCCTTACCTTGTTAGTAGGTTACAGACAGTGATAAGGTTGGCTACTTATTTTACTTTTAATTTCATTTGAATTAGCTTAAGCAGCGTTTATATTTNCCTATATTTTGTGGATGTACAGCAACATTTCTCATGTAAGTTTGCGTAGTTTTAACACAAACATTTATTTTTCATATTGCACCAGTACAGTTAATGAGCAACCTGTACTTGTGTGCTTGTTTGTTCTGTCTAAAATGTTTATTTTGGAATAAAGAGGTTAATTTAAAAAATATTTTTTGTCCGATTCATTGATTAATTGAAAAAATAATCGGCCGATTCATCGAATTTTAAAATAATCGTTAGTTGCAGCCCTACTAGTAAGGCTCAATAATTTCTTCCCACCTTCTTCTCAAGCTCTTCCACCTGACCCCAGTAACTTTTCTCCATCTCCTGCAGGACCTTTAATCTGGTCCTCAGGTCCTCCACCAGCTGCCTTTTCATAGCAACGTCTCTCTCTGTGTGGCTCACCCTAGAAGAAGAGACAGAAAGACGTCATTCCCTTGCCACCGCGTTCTCAACTGCACCTTCCATCTACACGCAGCAGACTCAACAGACAGAATGTGGAGAACGACACACAAACACACACAGGCCGGGCTGGCAGGCGCAGCGCCCCAACGCGCTGCATCAGCCATGACAGCTCATTATGACAACTAAATACACTACTGGCATGCTGCTTGGGTGAGTGGAGGGGCGTAAAATAGGGATGCATGTGTAATACTAACTGGCATATATTAGAACAAATGCTCTGGCAGGGACTGCCGCTTTAAGTGTGACTGGGGAGTCCTATTTGACAAACTGCGTCTTGAATCAGCAGCGACACGGCGTGAGGGACTGTAATGCAGCGTTTAAACGTTTATTATTTTACAGCTCAGTCATATAAATACATCAACGAGGAGGAGTTCTGCAGAGGGGTCGGCTTATAAAGGAAACATGCGCTAAAAATAAAAATAAAAAAAGCTGTTTGTAAGAGAGCGGGTCCCTTAAGAGGAACAATGTCTGTGCCATGTAAACTGTTTATGTCTCAACACGCGGCGCATGTCACTTCCTACATCAATTATCCTCTCTATTTACATGCTTAATATTCCTGATTTCTGCAGAGAGGCCTTCTTTTAAGTGGTCTGAGTATGTTAGCATGTTTTATTCTGTTTTCATAAAAAAGCAGACATAAGGCATTTTCATGGCTGTCCGTACCTCAGGGAGCTGGAACAAATAGAATAAAGATCATAAGGATGCAGTTAATTAAGTGGAATATTTCTTTTTAATTCAGAGATGTAATGGCTTCTCTTAGCTTACACACACACCCAGCATGTTGTGCGCTTCTTAAATAAACAGATGACGCAACGCTAAAGCAAATGTCCCCGTCTCTCTAGGTGGATGAGCCACGGAGGGTGGGCTGGGTAAATAAGTGAGAGCGTGTCCTATTGGAGTGACATTAAATTAAATGAGAGGGGAGTCTAACCTGGGGACTTTTAGAGGGGGTGGGGGGAGAGAAGTGCTGGCTGGTGACCCAATGGATTTGGCCATTAATGAGAAAACCCATATTGAACCTTTCAGATGACTGTCTGCTGTTGACTTAAAGACGGAGAGCAGCAATAAGAGCCCCGGCAGCTCCCTCTGCCCCACTGCTAATGGCAATTAGATGGACAACATTTATTTTAGATGTTCTTTTTCTCCCACACACCCCAAAAAGAATAGAGGATAAAAAAGAATGAGCGATATGCCCAACTTCTGCCGGATCATGTGATCTCTATTTATGAGCGTTAGTGGGAAGAAAAGACGGGAGCCTGGAACTACATCCCCATCACTCGCACGTTTGTTCCCTTTGTTCTGGGCTTGTTGCCGATATTGTTCATCAAACATGCGTGCATTGTAATAACAACAGTCAGTGGTCTGAAGAGCGTTAGCGAGGAGCGAGAGAGCACTTTTCCTCGTATGTTGTTAGGCATGAGGAGAAGGATGGATGTTTCATGTGGCTGATAGACAACAGGGCTAAAGATGAAAGCAGCAGCTTCATAAATAAGGCAGCGCCATAGTGCCGGATATTGACTGAGGACATGCCGGTGTACTTTGAAATTCATTCCTTTTTCTCCCCCCCTTCTCTTCTCTTCTTGCTCCCCGTGTGTGCGCTGAGATGTATATTTCAGAGACGTCTAGACATGTCTTTCATTCTGAGGAGGAGTCCCTCCGTGGAGCGGCAGGGCCAAGAAAGATCCTGGGTTACGTTTGCGTGCGAGAGCGACAAACATGTGAAGGATGTGTCAGAAAACGGAGCTGAGGGAAGCTCCATCTGTCGGGCTGTGATCCTCTACGTTTCGGTCACACACAAACACGCGTCTGCTCTGATTGTAAGCACATCCTTGGATGTATTATTGAGAATGTCAGGCAGAGGACAGAGCGGAGCGGACAAACACAACCAGAGGAAAGCCAAGTAGTTCTTTGCAGCCTTTCTTTGAGTGCAAACGCAGGACGTTGTTTAGATCCCAGCAGTTTCCCGCAGTGAACCCTGCACAGCCCTGCATGCAGACTGCAGTAAAAGCCAAACTGAGGGAATCCTGCAACTCGAGCAAGGCTGTGGCCCCCAGGCCAGGATGCTGCTCAGTTAGATTTTTGAGTGTCGTGAACCAAAATGCTCCCACAGCAGCAGAGAAAAGATCAATGAGTTACATTTTTTCTTTTTAAATCTTAGTAATTCTGTAAACGTTGGTGTGGATTTGTATTCAGCCCCCCCAATCTAATAAAATAGATAAAACCCAGTGAGACTTATTGCAGAAGTCGCCTCATTAGCCCACCTGCGTGTGATTTATTCTCTGTATAATTACAGCTGCTCTGTTTCTGGCCTCGGAGGTCTGAGGACAGGGAGGGAGTTCTGGAAACTGTTAAAGCAGCATTCGGTTCTGAAATAAACACCCAAAGCTTTAAACATCCATCATCTCAACATGGAGAGAGGCTGTAAGAAAGACACTGCTAAAGTAAGACAGTCATGTTTTGGGGCAGTGGCAATCACACCTTACTTATTAGACAGCAGTTTGTAAATTATGCAACAGTGATGCATGTTTTGCCTTGGTCCTTTACCCCAAAGCCAAGTAGAACACAAAACCGCACACTTTAGTGTAACACTAAACATAGAGTTTAAAGGGTATGACTAATTTTTGCCCTGCGCTGCTACACTCAGCCGCCTGTATCATCATCACACACTTGTTCCTTTAGTTGTTCTCATTCGGTTGCTGAGGCAGCCGTGCGTGACTAGATGCTGCAGCAGGGAGAGGGCCGCCACAGGGTGGAATCAAACACAGCGGATGAGAGCTGCACAGAAAGCTCTGAGAGATGGGGAGACAAAGAGGTGCTAGAGAAAAAGGTGCAAACCAGAGATACAACCAAAATGAAGGAACCACGAGGAGGACGAGCGGCACTAATTAAGACAGCGGTGGAACTGACTTGTCCTGCAGCTGGCAGAGCTTGTCCTCCTTCTCCTGGAGCTGTCCTCGCAGGGCTTTGTTAGCGGCCATCTGCTTTGTGACTTCGCCACTCGTGCTCTGGGGAGAGGGCACACAGTACCAATGTCTGTTAGCATGTTTTAGCGTTTCAGCCTGGAAGGGGGAGGCGTTTACAGCAGGTCAAGCACAGCATGCATTCTCATTATAGTTAGAGTGGAAGACAAGAAGGTGCTAAAAGAGGTTAGAAAGAATATTATTCTACAGCAGAAAGGATACATTTTGAAATAGATAAAAGTGTCTTGATTTGAGAAAAACTCTCACATCCTGATTTGTTTTGGATTTTCTATCTAAAACTTGTTTCATTTAATCCCAATAGAGGACGGGGAGTCCTAATGACACGTCTGGTTTGCAGGGCCTGTTTCTGCTGAAGACACCATCAAAAGCTCCTGTCAAACATGTGCCTCCCTCTCTCTTGTTAAGGTGTCGCCTGCCATGACTTCCTCAGACGTGAGAACCGACAGCAGCAATCTGCCGGGTGACACTGATGAGCGGGCTGCTGAGAGGGCGATGACGCCGTGGCACGGCTCGCACCTCGTTCCCCCGCCACGCAGGGCGGATCGCTACATCTACCCTCACACACATCTCATCCCTCTGACAGCTGCACTGAAATAAGATCAAATGCTACGAAATGCTAATTCATGTTGAAATCACATGCAATTTCAGGTGATGCTCACATTAAATTAAAAGGCTGAACATTTTGTTTTCTTTCTTTTTTCTTGCCTGATCTGAAAAAGTAAAACCTTGACAGAGTTTCTCGCAGAAGCTTCAAGGACTTTGAGACTTTGAGTGAAATGTTAAAGTGCTTTAGAAATTGATATTTGATGAAATCTGAGACTTTTTTTTCCCTCAACTAAAGAGGCATGTCTAATCCTGCACCTCTGGACTGTGGTACAGTGATGCATGTAACACATCTGCAACAAAAAAATGACCAAAGGGGTCAAAACAAGCAAAAGGTAACAGTTTTTTCATCAAATATAAAGGTAAAAATGCTCAAACAAATCAAAATTGTTGATATTTTTCTAATCCAAGCTCCACAGAGCAAATAATTAGAAATCGAAACATTATTTAAAACCTCAAAGGCGTGCCCAGGAAACTAGTGTGTGGGGGGAGATAAATAACTCTATAAGTACTGACCTTAAGTTTGACTTGAAGTTGTTTGACCTCCGCCTCCAGGGACTGGAGGGCAGGTACGGTTCTGCCCTGACAGGAACATTCAGTGTTTACTGGTGCTGCTGCCGGAGCTGCACTTTTGGACGGGAATGTTACCCGCTTCCACTGCTCCAGCTCCATCTCCAAAACCTTTTTCTGCTGCTCCACACCAGCCAGGTCAGAGGTCAGCTTCTGCAGAGTTAGCCACAACAGGATTGGTGAGTCAGTCACGGCGGTGATGAAGCTGAGTCTACTAACAAACCGTGGAAATATTTATTCCGGTTATAGCGGGTGAGGACGAGTAACGAGCAGCAACACATTCTTACATGATCCGACCAAACAGTCAGTGCAAACCAAGGAAACTGTATCCTGTTACCAGAAGCGTGTCCTTCACAGCAGCAGTAGGGCGAGGCTGAGTGTACACACCCACCACACTGTGTGCAAACAAAAGTGGAGGCTTTTCAATAAGTAATCATCTATAGTTAGGATGTATTGCCTGAAAATAACATAGATAAATCTAGTCAATGGAAATAATCTGGTTATCTTTTATTGTTCTCATAATTTCATCATTTATTAAACTTTCAGACTTTCTTGTCAATTTTCAGATTTTTCTTTTAAATGTAAACAGATTGTTGATGTTAAGATCTTATGTGGTGGGCAAGCTTTAAAAAAATATCGTGCAGACATCAAGAGCAGACAAAGTGAAGTTAGAGACTATGGTCAGTAAGTTAGGGGAAGTTAGTCATTATTAAGTTAGTTTGTGAATTATTTATTAAGTTATTTAAAATTAGGTCAGAAAAAAAACAAGATACATTCTTAAGATAGTAATACACAACTTTGTTGATGTATATTAATAAAAAAGTGGTTCCTAAACCCTTTCTTTCTGGGGCTTGGCTTACAAGAAAGCTGTTCAGGCCATGTGCTTCTTTAACTCTGATCTTTAATATTCTAGAATTTTAAATAACTTTGTTTTTTTCTCTTTGATGTGACTATATGGAAATAATAAAGCTGTTATCATGGGTTTTTTATTCAGTCCCCAAGTAGCCATTTTACCACAATAGTTTCCTTTTTATTGAGCTTTTATGGCACTAGTGGCTCGTTTATCCGACATTAGACTGACAGGAAAGGGGGTATGAGAGAGGGGGACAGACATGCGGCAAAGGACCACAGGTCAGATTCAAACCTGGGTCAGCTGCATCGAGGACTAATGCCTCCATACATGGGTTGTGTGCACTAATCACTGCACCACCAAAGCACGCCCAGTTTGTCACTTTTGATTGATTTCTTCAGAGGCTACTTTTTACTCTGCTTGGGTAAAAATACGCTGAAGTTTTGTTGCTTTTTAGATCTTTGTGGGCGAAAAAAAGCATTTAATGTTGTTATTTTTCTATAGAAGAAAGAAATTGAGATTTGGGGGGAGCAGATGCATAGTCTATCAGCCTGTGACATTCATTTTGAGAACAGAGGCCTACTTAAATAGGTTGCATGTTTAACCCCTGCGCCACCACTGGGCCTAACACTGATTCCCTCAACTGAGTACAGTTTCTATCTAGTCCACCTATCTCTGATGTCTTCATCACCAGACTTTTTTGTGCAGGACTATTGTTCCTCATTCCTTTTTTCCATTTCTCAGAAGTTATTAAGAAGAGGTTATACTCAGTAGTTATTAAACATGTATTTGATGTGAGGAAATGGTACACTTTAAACACAATAATGTGCTATAAAAGCTCTAGTTTTTGTTTTAACATCTTTGTCTGTGATGAGCTGAGGAACAACCGGTGAAACAGTTAATCCAGCTACCTGATGGTCACTGTTTTGTATAATGATGCCGTCCATCACATTCAGGCTGCAGTGCTGCACAGAGGGAGGAGTTCTGGTTTAGAATGATTCATGATCAAGGCATAACTCGGTCTATGAGAAAAACTAAAGAAATCAAGTCAAACCATGTAGCTGTGGCTGACATTAAAGTCCTGTCTTCCCTATTAGGAAATATGAACAATAATCACAGCACTGCAGGTTTGGCTCAATAATGCAATGATTAACTGATATGGTATGGTGTCAAACATGAAAAACTGCTTAATGGCACAAATAGGAGACATGATACATGGAAATACTTCTAACCCTATAAAGCTAGAAAGCAGAGAGAATCAACACACACACACACACACACACACACACACACAAAGTGAAACCACAGACTCCCAGGAGTTTACTCTCTGCTCTGCATACATGGAGGTTATTGATATCTAGTTGCTGGCTGACACCTTTTAATAGAATCCCTCTTGTTTTACGTTTCCTCTCCTCGTGCCGCCAGCCCTGGGAGAGTGGGGATATGGCCCCAGTGGCAGCACTGCACGAATTAAGAGAGGCATTGATGACACTTCCTGTAAGACAAACTTTGATTTCACAGGCCATTTTCAGCACTGATGGACAGGACAGACACAGATGGATGTACTGGTTCGTCCTATTAGGGGGAGGAGACCACTCCTCTCTGTGATCCTCCTTTCTCTAATCTCATAATGTCATTTTTCAATTTAACAGCAGCAACATAACTGGGCAAATTATTTTCTAAACAAACTTGGAGCATTCACAGCTTTAATGGCAAAAATCCCAAACTGAGCTACAGTATATCTGAACTTCTGATAAATGACTGGATCCCTGTGCTGAACTGAATTTGATACAGCTACAGTTATGGCATCCATCTTTTCATCCATCTTTTCATCCATCCATCCATCTTTTCATCAATACATCTATTGATCCTTCATCCATATTTTCATTTATCCACCCAGTCACCCATCCATCTATCTTTTCATCCATCCATCCATTCATCCATCTTTTCAACCCTTCATCCATCCATCCACCCATCCTTTCATCCATCCATGCATCCATTCTTTCATCCATCCATCCATCCATCCATCCATCCATCCATCCATCCATCCATCCATCCATCCATCCATCCATCCATCCATCCATCCATCCATCC